TTATCTTATCTTATCTTATCTTATCTTATCTTATCTTATCTTATCTTTACACAGCTATCCAATTGGGGACATTCCATTGACTCCCATTACATTTCTACAGCCTAACCCTGACCACAAACCCTAACCCTAACCTCACAGGTACCTACCTGACCCTAAAACTAACCTAAACTCAGTTCACACCTTGGTCCTAAACCCAACCCCCAACCCAAAATCAGCCTCTGATGTTGTGGGGCCAGAGGAGCACCCAGTCCCCACGAGGCTGCATTTTCCTTAAAAACTGGGCCCCACAATGTAGGAAAAACAAGGCCACATACACACACACACATCCTTGTATTTGCATCAAACTGAGGACATTGTATTGACTTCCATTCATTTTGCAACTGTATTTATGCCTAACCCAGACATTTTCTCTAAAACTAACCATTACTGGTCTATAGCTAACCCTAACCTGAACCAAAATTTAATTCACGCCATAACTCTAAACCTAACTAGAGCTGCGAAGTGAGGACATTGTACAGGTCTTCACTTTACATCAAAGACCTCACTTTGAAAGTAACTATGGTGCAAATGGTCCTCACTCTGTAGTAAAGACAAGTACACACACAGACACAGAAACACACGTACTATGTCTCTCTATCCTTGTGGGGACTTTCTATTGATTTCCATTCTTTTTTTATTTTATTTTATTTTATATCCTAACCCTGACCATTTACTCAAAGCTAACCTCACAGGTACCTAAAACTAACCTAAACTCAATTCACACCTTGGTCCTAAACCTACCCCCCCACCCAAAATCAGCTCCCAAAGTTGCGGGGACCGAGCTTTGGTCCCCACAAGGAGCATCCGGTACCCACAAGGCTGCATTTTCCTGAAAAATCGTCCCCACCAAGTAGCAAGAACAAGGCCAGACATAAAGGCTAATAAAAATGTTTCCCCCTTTGTCTTAAGGGGCGGGCAATAAAACATCCATCACAGATTATATATTTTTTTTTGTTCCAGTTTGTGAGTTTGATGACAGAGGAGTGTTGGACCAAAATAAAATGTTTCATACACTACATGCACTTTACATCATAATGAAGATGCAATTAAATCACAGAGAACTAAAAATAGATGTGATTTGAAACAGGGCCTGTAATGATCCAAAACGCACCCAGATGTGCGACACGAGAAAGCTTGAACGTCTTTTTATAGAAAAGAGTTTTCTTGCGGTGAGCGTGCTTGTAGCTGATTAATACTGTGGGATCAACAAATGAGAAAGAAGCAAGTTTGTTGGACTGAACCAAAGTTCTTACCTAAAATTAAACTCCTTTACAAAACACTTCTCAACTAATCTTGTGCCGTTAAGATTGTGGTAAGTTGCATTTCTGTATGCAATGATGACACAGGGTCACTACTTACAACACCAAGCAGGAATCACAACACAGACATTTTGTTCACTATTCAGCATCTGATGTCACTTTTACTCATTTGTTTTTGAGTAAATCTGAAGAAAGATGATTGTCAAACACAATACAATGTTCCATGTAAAAATCATGGAGGATATAGTATTTTAATATAGTATTGTAGTTTTGAAAAACAGCATGTGCTTGCCAGTATTTGAATTTAACAGTACAGAGATATTTGGTTGTTTTTGTTAAATGTGCATGATACATCAACACAGATGTTCTTAATTTTGGGAGATTTGTGATCAGCCAATACTTAGAAAAGATCAGTGGAAAAAGATCACTTTCTCTTCTACCTTCACAAAGATCTGCTGTGAGCACTACCTAATGTCTAGTTAAAACAAATTTTTATTGTTTCAATGGTTCAATATTTTTCAATAAAACAAGATGGGAACATTGAAGGTGTATTGTGACCTTACAACACCCGACAGTGTCAGTTATTAAAAATATAATTGGCATAGGCCAAAATCAGAATCAGCAGATCAGACCTTTTAAAGACTGGTGATTGGCCAGAAAACTGCACCCCTAGATTTTGCTAATATTGATGCTGAGAACGGTGAAACTTTACGTCCTTCCATCCATTATCCTTTTACTCGCTTATTCCTTTCAGGGTCACAGGGTTCACTGGTGCCAGCAGTCACAGTGCGGGGGGCGGGGTACACCCTGGACAGGTCGCAAGTCCATCACAGGGACACATAGAGACAAATGAAACAAACAACCACTCTCCCACTCACCCCTATAGGGAATTTTAGAGTTATCAATTAGCCTAATAGTCATGTTTTTTGGTCTGTGGGAGGAAACCAGAGTACCTGGAGAAAACCCACACATGCAGGGTGAGAACACACAAACTCTAGCCAGAAAGGTCCCTGAGATTTGATCTGGGAACCTTCTTGCTGAGAGGTAACAGCTCTACCAACTGAACCACCGTTCCTCCCCTTTACTGTATGGAATATTTTGCAACATGTGTTTATGTTAGATTTTCATGGTCATATCAAGAGTTTGAACAGACTGAAAATGGATGTCCTGATTGTAATTAATTAGTATGCAAGCAGAAACAAAAGGAAAAAGTATTACAATCTTGATATGTTAATGACTTAAATAATGTGCTTTTCCTCTGCATATGATTACTTTAAAGGATGCACCAGTATTTAATATTGTGCATATCTGTAGTCATAAAAATGAACCATTTTATTTCCATTATTTTAATAGAAAATTATCCTGTAATTTTTGTTTCTACAAACTAGTTGTCACCCAGATTACTTATTTTAGTGTTATGTGATTCAACATCAAATCATAATTTACATAAAATATTTTTTCTAGGCTGTACTGATGTTTGTTATATGTGTTGTTAATTTTATTTTAGTTCCCATTCAGCACTTGAGCCTCTGTAAGCTGGGGCTCTCATCCCTCGGACAGTACTGCATGAACTGTGTCTACTTTGTGTGCCCAGGTAAATACCACTGACCACTCATAGTACCATGGGACACATGACAGAAACTTGCAGACTTGATCAGAAAATTTGAACAAAAACAGTAGAAGTCAAATTGTATAAGGATCTGCTTAGTGCTGAAGTGTAATATGATGTGAAAACAGAATGTCCACTGTGTCATTGTTTTACTGTGATTCATACTTTTATTGTTTTGTTTTGTTTTTTTCCTTTGTCCTCCATGTGAGGAATTTGGTTGCTGTCTGTCCCTCTCAGCTCATGCTAACTTTTAAATAGTCAGCACTGGAACAATGTGTAACTTCCTGTCTCCATTGTTAGCTTTTTGAAGAACTGCACCCAAGCCTGCC